ACATACAATCTCTCTTCCCTATTTATATCCCCATCTCCTGCTACTCACTGACAGCCTCCTTGGGGTGTTCTTTGAACATGCTTAGCATGTGCCCAACTCTTGCTCTTTGCATTTGCTCTTCCCTTGCCTGGAATATTCTTCCACCTTCTGTATGCATCACTCTCTTCCTGACCTCTTTATCACTGAGGGCTTCACTAAATGATCTCTCCCCAGCTTAAACTATTCCATCTACTTCTCCCAATCCATATCTCCCTCTTTGCTTTAGCACTTTGCCCTGACACAATTTTACATTTGTTTACTGTCTGACTACATTCACTAGAATACGAAGTCTAGGGGTATGCATTTTTGTCTTACTTTGTTTTGAGTGCTCACTGAGTGATCATTTTGTTTTGTCTTGTTTTGTAGACAAAATAGCACTCAGTGGGCACTCAAAAACTATTATGTGAATGAATAAATGAATTAACCTTAAAATTATTCACTGAGCAATTACTATGTGCCAGCTACTGTGCAAGATAAAGGTAATTTAGAGTGAATAAAGAGGTTTTTGATTATTGCCTTTAATAAAGACAATTATGATTATTGTTGGTAAATTCTATGAAAACATCATAGGGGCGCTTTGGAGAATGAAAGAGGAGCACCTACCACAAGGGCGAAGGCACTGAGCTCTGATTTTGGAATGGGTGCAGGAGAGGACCAGGAAGAAGAAAGCCCCTTATGGGAACAGACAGAGGCGCAGAAATGTGGAAACCTGGCTTATGTGGAAAACTACAACTACTGCCAAAGCCCAGACCCTTATAAAAGGCTGTGAAAAGCCACTGAATGATATTTAAGTAAGGGAAAGGTTTGAACTCATTAGCCTTTAAGGAAGCTCACGCAGGCAGCAGTGTGCAGAAAGCACTGGAGGAGACTGAAAGCAGGCTGGTCATTAGGTGAACGTTACATTAGCTAAGGGAGAGAGGTGAGGGTTTAACAGGAATGTAGCAATGTGGCTGGAGAAGAGGGCTGGATCATAGAGATATTCTTAAGTGTCTGATGGACTGAAGTAGGAGGAGTAAAACTTGACTCTGAGGCCTGAGTAACATGCTTTTGGTAAAGACAGTTACCGACATGGGGTCGATCATGTTTCTTTAACTTACTTTCTCACCATATGCCGAACATTGTACATAAATCTTTAGATATGGAATCTAGGAAGGGAAAGGAAAAAATTGGAAAGAAAATCAAGTAACTCTATAATTTCTTACTGTGTCTATAAGTTTTTATCTGAACTTTATTTTGCATAACTTCCCATGGTGTTTTCTGAAAGATTATTAAAACTGGTGTAAAGATTTATCTGCAGATTAATGATGTTACTCCATGCTTAGAATTTTTCAGTGACTCTTTGAGTTTTTATCTTTTTGATAAAGTTATATTCATGATGCAAAATTCTTTAATGAAAAGTTTTTATATTTTATATAAAATATAAAAATACCCAGAACCTGTATTTAAATTTAATGTGTTTTAAGGTTCTAATTATAGTTGACATTTCTGGAGCTTAAAGAAATATAGCTTAATATGTTGATATTCTGTATGTTAGTTTTTAATCTTAAAATGTATGCAAAGAAATTATTTTGAAAAATAAAACTGGATTATTTTCATCTTAACTGGTTATATACAAAGTATATGCAAATATAAATAAGGAAAGACCACTTCATCGATTAATAAAGGTGGATCAAAAATATTATGACTCTAGGCTGGAAATCTCCTTGATCCAAACTTATTAAATTATGAGGATAACAACAATGGAATTGTTTTAGAAATCTCAAATCACTAGAAAAAATGATTTTAATTTTGGTAATAATAAGCATTTGTTTGACTAGTGAATAATGAATTTATGTCATTATTCATCCAAGTTGTTGTGCAGGATGAAAATATAAACAAGTGTAAGAAAGATTAGATAGACTAGGAGTAGTAGCTCACACTTGTAATCCCAACACTTTGGGAGGCCAAGGTGAGGGGATTGCTAGAGGCCAGGAGTTCGAGACCAGCTTGGGCAATATAGCAAGACCCTGTCTCCACAAAATATTAAAAACTTAGCCAGGCATGGTGACATGTGCTTGTAGTGCCAGCTACTTGGGAGGCTGAGGCAGGATTGCTTGAGCCCAGGAGTTTGAGGCTACAGTGAGCTATGATCACACCACTGCACTCCAGCCTGGACAACAGAGTGAGACCCTGTCTCAAAAGAAAAAAACAAAAATAAAAAAAATTGATAAATTCACGAATGTTTCTGTGGAATTTTCAAATTACTTTATAAACTAACATTTGTACCAGAAACCATAGGACTAATCAAATGTAGTCATCTTAACCAACTGGTAGCAACATACCCTAATTTCAATTTTTACCTGAAATCAATTTTTGAGTAGGGAAACTTTGATTTGTAAGCTTAAATTTAATTGCCACAATGTTGTGGATATATAATGGTATTATTTATCTAAGGATACTCAAAACAAATGCATATCAGCAAAATATTGCTCAGCAAAAATAACTGGTATGTCTGGATGTGTGCGTGCATGTGCACGTGTGTGTGTGTGTGTGTGTGTGTGTGTGTGTGTGTGTATGTCTCTGTCTGTACTTACTCAAGTGTTCCATATTTTATTCTGCCCAACTCCCAGGTCCCCCCACTAGTAATGGATGACACTCTTGTTAGATCCCTACCGTTTTTCCTGCCAGAGAGATCAAAGACGTATATGCACATTTTTGGTAACTGAATATATTTTTGCCAGCATAGTTTTGAAAACTCTATAAGACATGTATTTCCAATTCAAAATAACGTTAAATCTTAAAGAAACTGCTTTTATTTTTAGAGGCTACCAGAAGTAGCAGTAGTTTTCTAACAGTGAAGGAAACTGTTTATGGTCTTTGTAGCCATCCTTAGCTTTTCATTAAATAATGAGTTAAAATAGACAACTTAATTAATTTTATGAATTTCAGAGTTGATTCATCTTTCTAAATCTCTGATTTTATGTGATTATGCAGCAGAGACCAAATTAGAAAATATCAGATATGTTATTCTCTAGTTAAAATATTTGATGTTGAATTTACTCTTATTTTCATTTAAAATATTCCCTTCCAGGATTATATATCAATGTAATGAAATAGACAATTTTAGGGAAACAAGCCTTTGTGAATTGAACATACACATTCTCAGTCTAAATACTGAATTAATGTACTCCTTGTTCTATGATTTCCTAACATCAATATTTTAAGAAGTAAAGTACTCTAGAGACACTGGAGAAAATGGAATCATAGACAATGATAAAACCCAAGTCTTTTCTTCATTCTCAGATCTCCTATCACCACAGCCTTCAAATTCTGCCCTTACTTAGCATGGACATTTACTTCCCAAACAATTTACCCAAGTGAGGAAATGATTAAATATGTTTATATGCTAAGAGGAAGAACTAGTGAAGAAGTGGAGCCTCTGATACAGATACAGGAGTAACTGATTGCAAAAGATCCCTGAGGACAGAGACAAGGATGGATTCCAGAGTACACCAGATGACTTTGCCTTGTATAGGAGGAGGGGCTCTTCTTCCTCTGATACAGGAAAGAGGTACACGTAGATTTGGTCTGATGAGAGACAAGATGTGGAGTAGTCTCTATTTTCTCTGCAAAATCCTAAACAGGGAGAATTTTAAATATAGGGAGTGAAATAAGTAGGGAGAATGTCTGACCACACAGATCAACCACAATAACAAACTCATTAAACAGTTGGTTGGTTGAGTACATTAAATAGAAATATATAAAGGCAATATTGCACAGTGTACTTTCAATAACCTAAAGCTGATTATAGGAGGAAATTGTTAGTCTTCCTGTGAGGATTACAAAATAACATGGGGAACAGATTCTGTGAATCTTTCTAAACATTATGTATATTTTAATAAAAAGGATGCATGACCGGATCTTCTTCTAACGACCACGCTAGCGTTTTATTTAGTGTTACAGGGTGCAAATGCAACATGCTGATTAACTGAAATGTCACACACTGAAAATAAGCTGGTCATTAGTTAAATGTCATGGAATAAAGAACTTTTAACATGAAATGGTGAGTGTCTATAACTTTGCTAAAACATAGTAAAATATATTTTTGAAAGAACTAGAAGAAAGTGCTATAGTTATATTTAAAATATATATACAAATAGTGAGAAATACAGCCATATCTCTTTGAGTTATTTTCCACTGTCTCAAAGCCTTGCCTTGCTCTAAATAAAGTCGAGAGAATCCCAACACTGACTTTGTCGTTGAAAAACTGCTAAATCTCAAAACCGCTACATTTCCATGCTGTGTAAATATTCTCGTTTATCTCACTAAATCTCTTCCCCCCAGTTATCTTAGTCTAAGAAACAACTGATAGCCTCCTTTGTTCCCCTTTCTAGTATATACACGGTATCACAGTTGACATTGGCGTCCTCTAGTTTGTAAACAAGTTATTGTGCAGGTTAGTTGACCATATTTCCTAAGAGGAAAAATAGAAAACAAAAACAAACAAACAAAAAAACAACATGTTTCTTTGTAATGCTATTCAATTATTTCCTTTGCAAATCTGCTAACTGAAAATTTGCAGGTGCAGAAGTCATCTAACGTGTCCATTTGCTGAGGAACTCCATTTCATTTTAACTGCTTCTCAGGACTATATCTTCAGCCTACTAAATGAGATTGATGTGATACATTTACAGGTATTTTTTTTAAAAAAACGTGCTGAAACAGCAAAGATTATTTTTTAATAAAGAGGAAAAATCAGAATCCTGCTGCATATAGTTAATGGCCTTCAAAAGGAAACTAGAAGAAAAGATCTATTTTGTACTTCCAACTGAAATTTTTCTTTTTTTTTTTTCCTGATGTAGGAAATGTCAGCATATTTCAGTACAGCAAAGAAAATCTTAAGAGAATAGCACAGCTTAAACTGGTCATCTAAGCTTAAGTGGCTATAGTATTATGTTAATTGAATTGTTTTTCTTTTTTAGGGTCCTCTAGGGCCTCCAGGACAAAAGGTAGAGTATAAACAATACTGTGAAAGTAATTGTGCTCTCATGACCTAATGGCAAGCAAGAGAGGTGAATGAAATTAGCTACTGTAAGCCACGCTGAAGCAGTTAGTCTGGTTTGTGCATTCTGCTTTCTAAAAATACGGTCATAGAATGTGAACATTAGATTTCTGATTGACTCTATTATTTACAAAATTCAATAAATCCAGAGCAGACTCTTTTTAAGTTGTTTGCTGAACTTGTACATTATTGAATTTTTAATTCACATACTGGTAAAACATTGTGACAAAATTTAAAATGTGAAAGATCATTTGACATTGCAAAATGAATGCATGGCCTTCCTCAATTATATGATTGCCAAATGGCCAGAGAACTGACCAGAAAAAAGGATACTGCTGAGTTCACTATATTCAAATGGCAAACTGGTGTCCTTCTTTGACGAGGTAACCTGAGAAGTGACTTCCCGATTGTCATTTTGTTGTTATCTGTGATCATCAGAATTGACCATTACATTCCGATGGAGAGGCTGGACGCAGTGGCTCACGCCTGTAAAACCAACACCTTGGGAGGCTAAGGCAGGTGGATCACCCGAGGTCAGGAATTTGAGACCAGCCTGGCCAACATGGTAAAACCTGTCTCTACTAAAAAGACAATATTAGACAGGTGTGGTGGCACATGCCTATAGTCCCAGCTACTCAGGAGGCTGAGACAGGAGAATTGCTTGAACCCGGGAGGCGGAGGCTGCAGTGAGCTGAGATTGTGCCACTGTATTCCAGCCTGGGTGAGACAGAGCAAAACTCAGTCTCAAAAAATAAAAATAAATTCTGATGGAGAAGATCTAGGGTTTCCAAAATTACACCTATCTTACAGCAGTAAATATGTTAATAGCAAATAGATGGCATTTTGCCAACAGAATATCACTAAGTCTCCATTCCTCTGTCCTTACACCCCTTCAAGTGGGGAGGGGGATATTTAACCCGTGGAAAACTAAAGAAAACAATTGTATTATAACAGGTGGAAAAGTGATTATTCTTTATCTTTGGAATCCATCAAAGATAGAGACTTTTTATCCCCCAAGCACTGGGCATGTGGCATCTGTTGAAACATAATCCTACAAACCAAGTAAAAGCCCATGGGTTGTGAGACAACTTGTGTGTAGGAACACTTTGTCCTTCGTAATAATGTCTCTATTAAGCATGGTGTGAAATTGTAAAGCTACTCTAATCCACATATGACCAGGATAAAATTACTGCTCCGGACTTTGGGAAGTCCTTTAATGACCCATTCTATATAATCACTGAATGTGCTAAGGAACTTGCCATTTCAATTTGTTTTGATTATAATTACTGTTTTTCTAGGAGACTCTTTTTTTAGGGGAGTTTTTGCTCTATAATTTTTTTTTTTAAATCTTTTCTCCATTGTTATTAAAGAGATGTAATAGCATACATCTACTAAGAAAAATCTGTTTTCTAGTTTTAGACAAAGAATAAGCACATTGTATTTAAAATGGTTTCTCCAGAGCCTAAATGGAAGGTATAATGGAGGGAAATGACATCAGTGTTTGAAAATATTTGCTAATGTTTCTGTATCCAGTTAAATGTCATAGATTTTCTCAGGTAATAATTAGCTTTCCTATTCTCCAGCTCACCCATCTATGCCCAGTCATTCATACTTAGACACCAGTATGCACATGTGCATGCGCACACACATGCCCACATGTGCTCACACACACCCAACTTTTTTTGTACAGAAGTTGTGTTGTTCCTGGTCAGTGTATAACATTTATTACACCTTTTTTAGTCACTCTGGAAGACACATTCACATTCATATGGCTTAAACTTACTCCTTGAACGTCTGGGAGGAAAATGCTTAGAATATAACAAATCTGAGTTTATGACACGGGCCCCTTATTTAACTGTGGAACAAGTGGTTGTTATTTTAATTGCCTTTTGTTTTATGGTATTTTAACTCATGAAATGCAAGTGTTACTGATACTGGTAGGATTTTTCCAGATGGAACTCAACTATTCTTAAAAACATCAAAATTTAGAGTCATGTGGCCCTCTGATAGGTATGATCAATTTATCATATAAATTTCTTTAAAATCATATTAAAGTTAAGTGGGTACTTAGAAGCAAGGTTTAATTTTAACTTTGTCGTTTCTGGGCAAGCCTGAGGAATCTACTTACATTTTGTATTTGAACACTATGGATAAGGTCTGAAAAATAAAACTTCCTAGAAATGTTTTAGCAAGGCTTATATAATTCATACAATATGAACAATATTTTGTGTATGATAGCAACTCAATTTAATCATGTGTTTCTTTAGGGTTCTATTGGAGCACCTGGAATTCCAGGGATGAATGGGCAAAAGGTGAGTTCTATAGAATATTGTATTTTAAAAATAATTTGGTGAGCATTTGAAATTATTCTAGTCCATAATGTTAGTAATAAGCTTATATGCTTATAAAAACACTATGTATACTTTTGAAAGACAGGAAAATTTGGTACAAATGAGCAAATTAGTTTCATTTTTAAAGATGCATTCAATAGTCAGGAATTCTTTGGAAATTTTCCATTTCAACTATTTTGGATATGTTACTTTTCAATAAATTATGTATGTGATACAACTATGTCTCATAAATATAGATGGAATTGGAAAAATTTATGTTTAACATTGATTGTGATAAACAAAATACAGTCTAGTTTATTCTGGCCATTATAAAAGTAATATGTATTAATAATTGACTAACAAAAGCTATTCTCATAGAAGGAAACTAGCCAAACTTTCTGAATCCAGAAGGAAGCTCTTTTTCTGTTAAGCAAATGTAGACGTTAAGTAGATTTGTCCTGCCCTGGTATTACATCCACTTTTATTGTACTGTTAATAATGAGGGAGAAAAATACAGTGAAAGAAATGACAACACACTCTATATGCACGTATCCATGTGTTGTGTATATTCACAGCTGCCACATACCTACTAGTTGGACAAAGCATAGCTCCTCAACGTCCCTGACTGGCTCTTCAGTCTGGAACCTTCACAGAAACCAGGAAAGCCAAGTGGCAGCTGACAAAGCCCATTGCTGAGCCAGTCTGTCAGGAGCCAGGGAGCTGAGCGAGGGACTTTCCTGTCTCCCTCAGAGTTCTTGGGCTGGCCCTTTTATACCCAGAGACCCATTATCTTGCCTTCCCATTTTAAACCCATGCACCCTGGACCAAATTCTGAAATTATATGTAACTCAACCCTTTCAGAAATAAATCTCCTTGTGACCTTTTCCATCACGTCTATCTTTTCTTTCTATCAGTAAAACAAACAACCACAATTTTAAACCTAGCAAGTTGCTAAGAGCATGAGTCTACTGCTCAGAGGCTGTGTGAATTTTGGCAAGGTCCTTGGAATTCTCTGGCCTCAGTTTCTCATCTGTAAGGGGAGACAATGGCAGTGCCTACCTAATAGAGTCCATGAGAATTAAGAGAGTAAATAGATGTAAAGCCCTTAGTATTTGATATTACTGTTATACTTTTCCTTCACTTCAGTTTAGTGAAATTCCGAAAGTTCAGTTAATCTATGTTTTTAAGAGGCTCTCTGTTTCAAGAAGTACTCAATTCCCACATGAAATTAATGTGCTCAACCAAGGCTTATGGTGTCCTCTAGTCCATAAACTAAACACCACACACTCACCAGTAGTTAACCGCCCATGCCGCAGCTACATTTCCACTTAGTAAAATGCATATCCATTTGCTTCGCAGATCCTGGCAAAGATAGAAGACAAGCTTTCTGTTTAGAATATTGCAGATCATGGAGGGAAACCTAAGCAAAAATTTTAAACTATATTCTTTCTCAGATGGATTTGAAAATTATATAACTCAAGATAGCATTCAGAAAAAACAAAATACAGATAATGGCATAACTGTTGTTTTTGACATTGGTGAAAAACAAAACTTGTATGCCTAAGATTAATGACGCCTTCCTTTTTTGTCTTTGTTTCATTTTTCAACTTTGAGACAATCATGAAAATTTATAGAAACCTTTAACATGAAACCAAACAACTTTAAAACTGTCACATATACTCCTTTGAAGACTACATATTCTTTATTTTTGCAAAGGAAATATGCAATTTCCTTAGCAAGAGAAAGGAATGTGACATTTTCTTGTCCTAGTCACCAAGTTTAAATTATATTTCAAGGAAATAGACAGTTAATATTTGCAGTTTTATGTCTTGTTATACATCTTAGTGGCATTTTAAAAGTGTGTTCTGTAGAACCCAGGGAAATGAAATGATTTCACACTTTTATGAAGGTATCAGCAAAATGTAATTTAAATTTGTTTTCTTTCCTTCAGACAACTGAACCTAAAACTTTGTGTATGGAACTTTCTGTTAGGCCTATCATTGCTTAACATTTGTAATATTTGCTATATCATTTTTAGGAAAATAAAGTGTAAAAAACACAAGTCTCCTTCACTGAAACAGCAGGTCTCATAGATAGTAAAAACACAGTTGGCAATAGAGTAATAATTACATACTTAGAGCATATGAAATGAACCCTAGAATTTGTGTTTAAACAAATTTCTTGAACTCTAGACTTCGTTTTTCTGGAGTCTTGAACTCTAGCATTTGTTTTTCTAAGAAAGGAGTTTACAATGACATAATAATTTTTTTTTTTTTTGTAAAAGCACCTCAATATTCTTAAATTGTCTTGAGAAAACATTTTGTTCTCCATTACAATTTTGCTTTTTCCAGAAAAGTACTTTTGATACTTAGAAAAGTTTTCAGACAGTGGTTAGGGGAGGATATAATTAAACCATCAGAAATATGGCAAATAATATCTAGCTACTTGGGAGGCTGAGGCAGGAGGATTTCTTGAGCCCAGGAGTTCGAGTCCAGCCTGGGTACCATAGTGAGAACTTATCTCTTAAAAAGAAAAAAGTAAGAAATGTGGCAAATAAAAACTAGGAAATAAAAATTCTTATGTTTGAAAAAAGAAATAAAAGTATATTATTTTAAGAAAACACTGGCTAGGTGATGTGGCCCATGCCTGTAATCCCAGCATTTTTAGAGGTTGAGGCAGGAGGTTCACCTAAGCTCAGGAGCTAAAAAAAAAACCTGGGCAACATGGTGAAACCCTGTCTCTAAAAAAGAAAGGAAAAGAAAAAGAAAGAGAAAGAGAAAGAGAAAGGGGAGGGGGGGGGAGGGGAGGGGAGGACGAAAATGCTTTTTTTTTTCCCCAGAGAACATTTTCATGCATTCAGATTGGCAAAATGGGTGATGGCCTTAGCACATAAACTTGGTGGTGATGTTTTTCCTGCACATTATCTTTTACATTTTGATCACCTTGATTGCTAATCTGAATATTTATTTTTGTAATGGTCTTTCAGTTTTTCTGTTTGTATTAGAAGAAAATACTTAACATAAGCAGTGGCATGGCATTAGGCTCCAATCATGCCCCTTCTGGCATCACAACTGATGAAGGGCTACAGAGCATCCTTCTGTGAAAAGTATGAGGCAGTGTGATACAGAGAAAAGGGCGTGGTCTCTGTATCTGAGAGAGAATGCTCTGTGTCCTCATTTGGGCAAATCACTTAATATTTCTAAGGTTCTAGTATACAATATAGAGACAGGCCTTGCAGTAGTAATTAGACAATATATCTAAAGTGAATATTATATAATAGATGCCCAATAAATGTTGTCAAATATCTCTAGTAGTATTTTCATGCCTTAAGAATTTCAGCAGGCTGGGCACAGTGGCTCATGCTTGCAATCCCAATACTTTGGGAGGCCAAGGTGGGAGGATCTCTTGAGCCCAAGAGTTCAACGTTACAGTGAGCCATGATCGTGCCACTGCACTCCAGCATGAGTGACATAGTGAGACCCTGTCTCAAAAGAAAAAAGTAGTTTCAGCAAATGAGCCCTAAACTTACATTTAAGCAGGGAGCAAAAGCCAGCTGAATTCCTCATAGAGAGAAAATGAATATGCAAAATTATACATAGAGGTAGAATGTGTTCCCTGTCCCCTGCTGTCTCCCTGACCGTAAGGACTAAGAGCCCCAGTCGATAAGGACTGGGTAGTTGGAATGATGGTGCTATAGATACAAGAAAGAGAAAGACACGTTTCACATTATTATGAAAGCACAGTCACCAGTGGGCTGATGTAGGAGCCCTGTCCTGGCATCAGTACACTCTGTGCTCTTTAACCTGTTGTGTAGCCTTTGAAGGATCCCTTTTATCTCTGGGTTCAAAGGGGCTTCATTTGTAAAATGAGAGAAGAAGCTGTACCAACTTACCTCTAAGTTTCTCAGAGATGCTATGAGTACCCATGTCTTGTTTCCAATTCAACCAGATTTTAGCATCCTCTGTTCCCAGTTCCGAAAGCTGATGTTTTCATAATTTGGACTTGTTTCCACCAACCAAGCAGTTAGGGCAGATTTAATGCAAATCCTACCTAAAAATATGAAATGTTATCTAGTTCTTCTTTGGCTAATTATATTGAACACAAAAATAATCTTGTAAGTCTCATGAAGATCTTCTTGGTTTAAACATATAATTAACCTTTTATTTGTCCTCCATGATTCTTTCCTCCATCATGCACACACACACATACATAAAGTGATATATATTTGAATATTTGCCAATTCATTCCTACTTCAAATACTCTGAAGAAAATTGAGCTATTTAAGATAATTTTGTGGTAGAACCATGTTTTTAAACTGAAGAATTATTTGGCAAAATAGATTGCTGCCTACCATTTTTGTTTATATACTTATATGTCAGTTTTTAAAAATCTGAACTGTTAAAAGTATTAAAGTTCTGTATTTTTCCACTTTTTCCTGATGTTCATCTTTATTGGCATCCATAAGAACAAATAATCATAATGACAATTTATTTGGATAGCAATTAGTGCCCAACACTGAAAATGCCTTGAAAGAGGAGCTGGAGGTGGTAGAGTCCATACAAAGTCCCATTTATGCTACTCTTAGTTTACATCCTTACTATAAAAATAATGAAGATTTTTAGGATTAAAATAAAATTCTTTATTTCTGTGGAATTTTTCTGAGGCCTGCAGAGTCATAGGGCTTGTTTCCAAAACAAAAGATAAATATCAGATGATCTTGATTTGTGCAATTTTAAGTGCTTTCTAGAATTCATTATTATTTTTAAAACTTCAAATATAACATAAATTAAAAGTTGTTATTAGTGTGTCACCCATGAATCCATCACAAATAGCTATGTGATTTTTAAGTAACATTAAATTTTAAATAACTTTTGGTTATGACATTTGAAATTCCTTTTAATCTCTTATACATGGATCACACAATTCTTCATTGACATTAATCTTCATGGCATACTTTTAATGCCATTTTTATTGTAAGTATA